GGGTGGGGGGTTAAGACCTGAATATATATTTGCAAGTTGACCCACCAGACATCCAACAACCCTTTTCTGGTCTTGGCCGTAATGAGACATACTCACCGATCCAACCATTGCACAATTAAGCCTTTCTTTGGAAGCAAATTAGTTCCTAGGAGGTATTCAGTGCACATTTTAAGTAAATACAAAGCCAAAGCAATGCAATACTGAAATCATTTCGTGGGTGACATGAGCCCCTAGAATTTTATTCAGTGAAATGAGCCCCTAGAATTTTATTCTAGAGTAAGTCCGGCAGCCGGGAAGCGACCATATATATGTGATGCCTTCTTCTACACATGTATTTAGAAATTATTGACAATTTCGAAAATATATAGCGGTCTGAGTCATCCTCAAATTGAGATTTTTTTTGAGGGAAGGCCATCATGGCTAGCTTTATTAAAACTTAAATAATGTTTACATCGTCTACGAGCTTACTGACAATAAAGTCAGGGGGCTCATCCAACCAACTAAATGAAGTCTTATTACAGTAACTGAAATGAGCTAGCACATGAACCGCTTGATTACAAGATCTATAACAATGCTTATAAACGACCTTCCCAATTGAAATACTAGTGTCCACACATTCTGCGAATATAGCCGCCGCCGAGTCCCACAATATTGTTTGTTCATCACAATAATTGAGACTAATAGACATTCATGTAACATAACGTTCCTTTTTTGTTTCTTGAAGGAAAGGAAAGTGTTTTAATGATGAAAGGTTTCCTCTATTCCTGAGAATACATTAATTTTTCAGAAAACACAATTTAGCTATCAGGAAAAGGGCTTCCGTTTCGCTCTATAGATAAAGTACGAAACATAAGTAAAAGGCCGAAATATACATGGCGATGAGGAAGCCTTTAAAGAAGCAGAACCTAGAAAAAAAGACAATAACATCCAAACCGCAACACCACGCCGAGCAAGAATACAAGAGGACCCAAGGACTAACACCACCTGATTTCCACGACTACCTCCTCAAGAGGGAAACTGCGCAAAGCGTATTCGTCGCCGCATCTGATGAAGTGGACAAAGTTTTTCACCTGGAACCTGACATGGGGGGCAAAACCGCGACAACATCCTCAAAAGGAAAACGGCATCCGTGGGCACCGTCACCGTCGACGCCAAGGCGTAGAGCTTTCACCCATTGCTTCCCCGTGCCATGACGGGGCCACAATCGGCCGCTGCAACAAAGGTAGGGCCTCCAAAACCAGGTGTGGACCCTTCCCTGCCACAATAAGGGAGATGCCAGGGCCACCCACCGCAACATTTCTCGCCGCTCACACATGACCAAGACGCGCTGCCACCACCGCTACCCGGAGAACCGCCGAAGAGCCCACTGAGTAGACCGCCACCCAAGGCTGCCGCCCTGGCATCCCACTCTAAACCTCCCGCTGATGCCAAAACTCGTGACCTCCGTAATAAAATGTAAGACATTTTTTATGCCTTACGCAAAACTAAAAAAAGGCCTTACATTTTGGTACAGAGACTGAAGTATTTTGCCTGCGAAGTACAGTACAAGTTTGGATGTGCGCCAACAACCAATTTAGGGATCGTCACTGTCACAAAATGGTGCAGCAAGCGAGATGATGATGAACCACCGGCCGGTAGGGAGTTTGGTGGTGAATGGTGATCCGACAGGCCACTACATATACCGCCTTTCTTGCACTCAAACTCCACAAGCACAGAAAGCAAAACCACAGTCGCTAGCAGTACAAAGTCCAACGCGGTTTGTTTAGTCATGGAAAAAACTAACATCGTGGCTTGTAGGAATCCAACTTCTCGTGACGCGAGCGATGACGAGGAAGCGACGTGGTCGCATGCATGGGGGCTCATCTCGGGCTTTGCCGTCTCCATCACCCTCAAAACAGCAATCGAGCTCGGCATCATCGACGCACTGACCAACGCCGCCGGCCGTGCGCTGACGGTGGACGAGCTGGCCGCGCAGCTCCCGGCACCGGACAAGGCCGGGTCGGCTGCCTCGGTGGACCGGCTTCTCCGGCTCCTTGCCGCCTTCGACGTTGTGCGGTGTTCGACGGAGACGGGTCCGGACTGTGAGGCAGTCCGGAAGTACACTCCGGCGCCGGTGTGCCGGTGGCTCACCAGCAACCGCAGCGATGGGTCGCTGGCCCCCTTGGCCATGTTGGCCGTCGACCAGGATTACTTGCCGACCTGGTAAGTGTGTGTGCTCTGTACTATATATCACCCATCGACTGCCATGATGATCAAATGTCACGAGACTAAGCATTATCCATCCATGTAGGAATCAAATGGGGGCGGCGGTGGTGTGCGGTGTTCCAACGCCGTTCGAGAGGGCGCACGGGGTGCCGCTGTTTGAGTACATGGGGAAGAACCCTCGGCTAAGCGGGGTGTTCAACCAAGCTATGTTCCACATGTCAGTCACGGTCATCAGCAAGATGGTCGAGCGCTTCGACGGCTTCGACGGCGTCGAAGTTCTCGTCGACGTCGGCGGGGGGACTGGTGCCGCCCTGGAGATGATCACCGCCCGCCACAAGCATATAAAGGGCATCAACTTTGACCTGCCTTACGTCATCACTCAGGCGCCGTCTCTCCCGGGTAAATCCATTGACTGAACTTTGTGCTACGGCACTATTTCACCCATTTTTTGGCGGAAAAATCGGCTACGGCAATTGTTTATTTATATCTATATACCTATATCTATACCACTGTATAGTATAGGAACAAATGAGTCGTTGGATTTTTTCGGTCTAATGGTTGAAATGAAGCACATCCGGGCATCTCCAGCTGTTGATCAAATCTATAAATTACCTTTTTTTTTGCAGGGATAAATCTATAAATTACCTGATTCTTACACATGTCCATACACAATATATTATACCCACTTAATAATTATACAAAATACTCAGAAAACGCAACCGGCGTCAAATTCGAAATGAGAGACCTTTGTATGGATGTCTTTTTTGAAAAATATGTAGAAATCAAATTAGACTGTAAATATACAAATCATATTTGAAACTGAAACTTTTCAAAATCCTGCTTGATCATGCGGATGTGCAAAAGCACATGTCTACTATAAAACATATTCCCTCCGTCGCATAATGTAAGACATTTTCTGAAACTAGTGTAATGTCAGAAAAACGTCTTACATTATAGGATGGAGGGAGTACAATTTTTGTCCGTAAAATCCCTCATGTCACCTACGGACAATAATTCAGATGGCCTTTTATAGACAGCAGTACAATGATCTGACTGTAAAGAGTCTGTTTTTAGCATAATTGACTTTTTAGGGGATTTTAACTACTCGTCAGAAAGAAATTACAGACAATATATGTACACAACGAAATCACCTACTTCTCTCTCCCCATTCTCTTTCCTTCACATAACTAGATTTCGTATGTGGCAACTCTTATAGACAGCTGAGGGCAATGCTAGACTTACGTAAAAGAACTACTTCTGTTTACGTACTAACCAACGTGGAAGAATAGGATTGGTGTTTTTTTTGGGGAGGGCACCCCCCTGAAAATCAGGGGGGTGTTTAGATTAGTTTGGCATGTTTCGTAAAACTTATGTATGCCCTTCGTAGGTTTACCATTTTCGAACAACTGACTAGATGATGTCGTGTATGCAACCATATGTATATATGTTAGAGGTGTTTTTCTATGTTTCAGAGAAAAACATCCATTAGTTACAATCCTTGTGTCCACTTGTTCATGTTTGTAACTACATTATCATTACTATTTGGTAGTGTTATTTATTATTATTCTCTTCTTGTATTCTAAAGAGATTTAGCTAGTACTTTGTCGAATTTTGACCGCAGGTGTGGAAAATATTGCTGGAAATATGTTTGAGAATGTACCCACGGGAGATGCAATTTTTTTAAAGGTATATATTCTGACTAATATTCATTTAAAAAGTAATAATTTATTAGTTTTTATTATTTTATTGACTTCATCTCCATTTTACTAAAAAATAATTGTCATATTAGTGTATAATATTGCAATGTGTGTTTTTGTTCAACAAGCAAGTAAGCAAAACTATCTTATAAATAATAATAATAATAATAATAGCAACAACATATTTTGTTAAAATTACACATACGGAGGTGGGTGGCATGACATGTTTGACTTGCGAAAGTTACGCAATAAATTAGCAAGAGACATGCTAGAGGGTTGCTCTAATTTTGCAACAAATTAGATTTGGAGGCAAGAGCACTAGAGACCCACAAACTTGCATTGTATGTGATGGTTTAGTTCATAAACTTGCAAAAGGTGATCAACCAATCGACAAACTTGTAAAGTATGTGATGGTTTAGTCCACAACCAATCAAAGACAAACAATTGATGCCCAGCTGGCTGCTTCGTGGCACACCTGGTTGGACTGGATCTTTTGCAAAAAAAAACTCAACGTTGGCTGTCAGTGCTTTCAACTCCCATGCCTTCTGACACCAAAATCAATGTAATCATCAAACAAGTCATGAGGAGGCAGCCAGAGTTACAAAAACATGAAAAACACCACAAAAACTGCACAGAGAACAGCATAATTCACACTGTTACAAAAAATTACCGCCTTGTTGAAAGATTCTAGATAGAGTTGGCGTTCGTAAGCAGAGACATGAGGAGGCAGCCAGAGTCAATTTCAGCAGCAGTAGCGATGGCAACAGCAAGACGGTCCCCGTGATATACCTCCGTAGTTGTCGCCGTCAGACTGTCAGAGAGCCCACGGTACCGCCGCGACTCCACCCACGGTATGCCCAACGGCCTGCCGCCGCTGGCCCGCCGCGCCCACCATCAATCAATCAGAACAAAACACGTATTCCAGTAGGAGCACGATCAAGCGGCGACAAGAACATTCCTCTACAAAAAGTGACAAAGCTGCAATCCTGTGTGCTGAAGCACCAAGTATCCCTTCGTTCCAGCAGACTCCAAGAGCCATTCCAGGCCATGGCGCCTCTGCGGAGCTCCTCGATTAGTCAATCGTGCCTATTTTTATCTGTACATGTAGCCTGCAGGCACCTCTATAAAATCTCATCGCCCTTGCTGCCCACTCACACTGAAGATCTCCCCGAGCGATCCTCGCATTCAGCTTGTCACTCTGTCTTTCTTGTAGCTCGGCTCAGTTGTCTGTTCCCTGCAAGCCGCGACCGATCCATGTCGAGCCTGATAGATATTTGGCGGTGGAGGTGGACAGGATCCGGGCCATGTGGAGAACGGGGGAGTCGTTCAGACCCACGGCTTTGCCCGGCCGCGCAGGCGCACAAGAAGGCGGCCACGTAGCTCAGCCGTCCGGCGACGGAAATGGAACGCCAACACCTGATGGTGCCATGGCTTGGCCGGCCAAGGATCAGGCTGCTGGCGCTGGCTCGCCGTCGTCGCCGGTGTTCGTCCGGGAGGACGCCTTCTTGTCCATCCTGGTTGATTGTTTCGGCCAGTAGATTGCACCGAACGCTACGCAGTAACACGCTCCTAAGCTCTAGCTAGATGCAATGCAATTAAAGTTTCTTTCGTGATTGCTGTAGCCTGCTGAATTATCAAATTCGGCGCCTTCTGAATGTCTCTGTTACAATACAAATCAACGCCTATCTCCAGTCAGGTCAGTTTTCATGATGGTCCCTAGACAGGGGAAACAGGGACTGCGGGCGTGATTTCCTGAAATATTGAGGGGTTTTGCGCAAAAGATCCAGTCCGACCAGGTGTGCCACGAAGCAGCTAGTTGAGCGCCAATTGTCTGTCTCTGATTGGCTGTGGACTAAACCATCACATAGTTTGCAAGTTTATGTACCGATTGATCACCTTTTGCAAGTTTATGGACTAAACCATCACATCCAACGCAAATTTATGGGTCTCTAGTGTTCTTGCCTCTTAGATTTGTCTAGCTTCTACTTGCCTGATCCTTACCATGGGGTACATAGACATGCAAAAAAGCAGTCCCATCGTGTCCTTTGGAAGAGGTTCTTGGTATTTAGTAATTACTCCCTCCGTAAAGAAATATAAGACCTTTTTGATTACTACTATTTATGTACAGAGGGACTAACTTCTAGTTTCATGAATTTTTTTTATTACAAGTAAAGATCAAATTCAGTCTTGACAAAAAAAATCTGGGATCAAATAGATCATTCAAATTTTGAATGATATAGAATGGACATGATGCAATTGTGAGAAAAAACAAAACCATCATATATTCGCATAATGATTATTGATCATTCTATGAACTGAATGAACCTATATGTGCAGTGGATACTCCATCTACAGAATGATGATGAATGCATTAAGATCCTCAAGAACTGCCACCGGGCTCTTCCAGCCAACGGCAAGGTGATCGTCGTGGAAATTGTCCTGCCGACCACCACAGAGGCAACTCGTGAGGCGCAGAATATGTTCCTTCTAGACGTCATCATGTTCAATAACCAGCAGGGTGGAAAGGAGAGGACTGAGCAGGATTTCCTAAAGATGGCCAGGAGCTCCGGGTTTGATGGTGCCTTCCGTTCCACCTACATCTTCGGTAACTTCTGGGCTCTCGAGTTCACCAAGTAGTTGTCATGGTCATGCAGACTGCAGCTACATCTCTATCTACGCCATGCATGTATCATTTTTTTTCCTTTTTTGAAAAGGAGGACTACCCCCGGACCATGCATCATTGCGATGTGCACAGCCTTTATCATTGTTTGTATTGATCTCCTCTCCTATATGTGTTACTTCGATTGTATACTTGTTTACATTAATATTGTAAGACGTGCAGCAGTACCTATTTGTATTCTCAACATATGAGCCATGTGAAGTGTACTTATCTGTATTCTCCTAAGTGTGGGCAAAGATATTACAATATTTATGCTTCCACATACCCTTTGTCAGATCATGATAGAGGGCGGGCACCTTCTTGTTGCAAACACACGCTAGTACAGAGTGAGCTTTGGCAGCGGTTTTCGCACATGGGACGGTGGTTATTCCCCGTTTCGCTTCAAAGCATGTGTCACCAATACTCGATAGAGTGCCGGTGGTGGTTTCTAGAACTGTCTGTGCTCATTTCCTCGCCCCAAGCAGTTTACGTTTACAAACCGCCTGCAATGTTGGGCTGCACAGAGGCGGCTGCTCATTTGGAACCGTCGGAAATAATCTGTCAGTACAGACGGTCTCAAATGCTCAACTGCATGTTCATATTTTTTAAAACTTATTGCGATTTTCCTCCTCATCGATGTTTTTTTGTCATTTCAGCAGCATCCAAAATAGATGTGCACAGCACTTTCATGATGCTCATCGACACTCATCTCACAATTGCATTTAGTTTCATACTCCAATTGTTCATGGGCAAACAAAGTGTTATGTAACATCCCAATTTTTAATTTGGATGTTATACATAGATCATCATATGCATATCATATTTTTATTGCATTTTGGTAGGATCTTAAAAATCTTAAGCAACTCAAGGACCCAAGGAGAGAGTTGGAGGTTTCACAAAATTTTCATATTTGAATTTATTTAAAATTTGAAAAGAGGATCAATTTGATTTTAATAATTTCTCTCCAATTATTTCCAACAATAAAATAAATGAGAGAAGATAATATGACTTCTTCAACAGAAGAGAAATATTGGAGAAGAAATTTTAAAATCAAATTATTATTTTATTTGTATTTTATTTGCTATTTTATTTGAATTAGAGAAGAAAACATTCATTTTTGAAAATTGCATTTAGTCCAGAAAAATGTCCATATTGTCCTAAATATTAGGTTTGCACGGCGAAAATTGTATCTGGAATTTATAGATTTTTATATTAAATTAGGATTTTTCTTCGCGGCTCCCCATGCTATCTTCTAGATTAGACCAAAAACCTCAAGCTAGTCGAGACTCTGGTTGGCTTCAACTCCATGGAGCTAATCACGTCTATTTATAAGGGCGTTGTTACTCCTCCTAATACTTCATGCTTTGATGCATGGGTGTGTGTGGCCCGTGCATATGACAAGAAAACCCTAGCACTGATTCTTATTTACATCCCCTAAATGTTAGACTTTTCTTTCTACTTCCGTGTTCTCCTCGCTGATACCTACACTAATTGTTAAAAACAATTGTGGTTGGCATATACCTACACTAATTGTTAAAAACAATTGTGGTTGGTATGTCTACCCAAGTCCACCATGGTTTTTCTTTTGCTGCAGTGACATTAGCTCAGGAGTAGTTGTGAGCTGTGACCTATACTCTCGAGGGATTTCAGGGTTCAAAATACTACATATGGAAGTTAGTTGTTGTGTCATCTCCTATTTATTGAAATCTTTTTTCCTACTATCGACATTTCCTTAGCTGATACCTACACTAACTGTTAGAATAAAATGTGGTTGGTATATATCCCCAATTCCACCATGCTCACATAGGACCCGGCTCACGCTGGCCCACTCGACCCCACATAATTCTCACCATCCGCTCCCCGGACCAAACCCTAGCCACTCCACTCCACTCCCCTCCACTCCCCTCTGCAACCCAACCTCCTGTCCGGGATCTCCGGCCTTCTCCGGCATGACGGGCAGCGAATCCGAGTCTTACACCTCCAAATCTGTCGACACCGAGCTCATCCCACGCGACCCCAAGGAGGATATGACTGTCAGGCTTGCGCTCTGCCGCTCCCAGGAGGAGGCCGCCCAACGGCAGCGCTCGGACTCCTTCCGTCGGGAATCCATTGTGTCCGCCCAAATGACGCATGGATCCGCAGCCAGGTGTGGCATCGCTACCTCACCGGAGGCGATGTGGTTCGTGCTGAAATCTAGATGGGCTCTAGGCCCATATTGCAATTTCTGAAAAATCTCTAAGGGCCCATGTGGGTTGTATGGCACTAGGTGTGGTGGGAAGTTTAGTCCCACCCCGGAAGTGGAAGGAGAGTTGGAGTGCTTTATAAGGGTTTCTCTTCTACATGCTATTGGAGCTTGAGAAGAGAAGAGGCCCTCGCGCACTCCTCCTCCTCCGCTCGCCTCGCCACGCCACGCCACGCCTCGCCACGACGCGCCGCGGGTTGCGGGATTGAGCCGAGCCGAGCCGAGCTCACTCCTATGCGCTTCTTTTTGCCGGTCAGGAACGGAGAGTCTTTGACAGGTAGGGCCACGATCTGAGACGTTGGATCGTGGGCTACCGACTTGGACGTGGGTTCAGCCCACGTCTCTCCACGCGCGGCCGCACATAAAGGGGCGCTGCCAACCCTAGCCGCCGCGAAACAGAACGCATCTCCGCCTCCACGCCCACGCCGTTCCTCTGCTGCTGCTGCCGCCGGCGATTTCGTCCCGTCCGCCGCGTACACGGTCAACGGGAGAGCAGGTCTCTGAAACCACGCCCTTCTGGTTCCTATACGGGGTGAGGGGCGAATAGGTTTTTGGGCAGCGATTACGCGACTACTCGCTTCCGATTGTCTACTTCCTCTACGTCTGCGTCGCCTTCATCATCACCATGTCCACCGACACCGACCGTGCCGCCGCCGAGAAAGCCGAAGCCGACAAGAAGGCCGCCGAGGACGCCGCTGCTGCCACCAAAGCCGCGGCCTCTGCATGGCCTACTGGAGGGTATAACTCGTTTATCCCGCTCCTGATTATTTTCATATTAGCAGTACTAGCAATATGTGTAGATTTGTCTACTGTTTGCTTAGTATGTGCATGTTTAGATCAAAGTCACTACGTCATCAACTTAGTCAATGCCATGCTAGTGATTCACTCGTGGATTAATTTAATCGAGAAATTGCCTATTTACTCAACAATCCAAAAACCTATTATGTGTAGGAATTTTTTGGCAAGTGGCTTTGCCGCTGCACTGAAACCGGATAAGTTTACCGGTACGTATTTTAAGCGTTGGCAGACAAAGACCACTTTATGGCTCACGGCTATGAACGTGTTCTGGGTCACCGGTGTGTCCACGGGAACGATTGCTCCTGAACAGGAGAAGGCATTCAGGGAGGCAACCATTGTGTTTCTCGGAGCAGTTCTTAGCATGATTGGAGATAAACTGGTCGACACATATTTACATGTGCATGTCGCCAAGGACTTCTGGGAGGCGCTCGAATCTAAATTCGGGGCCGCTGATGCAGGGAGCGAGATGTATATTATAGAGCAGTTCTACGATTACAAGATGGTTGAGAACCGTCCTGTACTGGAGCAGGCTCATGAGATAATATGCATTGTTAAGGAGCTTGAGCTTCTGAAGTGCGAGTTACCGGGCAAGTTTGTCGCGGGCTGCATAATCACTAAGCTCCCCAATTCCTGGAGGAACTTTGCCACCACTCTGAAACATCAGATGCGTGAATTCTCTGTGGAAGATGTCATTGGCCATCTGAGTGTTGAGCAGAATTCGAGGGCAAAGGACTCGCAGGGAAAAGGGGCTGAAGGGACTTCTGTTGCCAACATGGTGAACTAGAGGAACTTCAACTCCCACAAGTTCAAGGGAAAGAACGGTGTCCAACAGAATACCGACTTCAAGAAGAAGGGTAAGAAGACCTTCAAGAAGAACAAGAAGGATGAGGGCTGCTTTACTTGCGGTTCGGCTGAACATTGGGCCAACAAGTGCCCAAACAAGTTTAAGAAGTCAGGACAGGACTCCAAGTCTGTCAACATGATTGTGGGCAACAATGAGAATGGTGCATCTGGGTACGGTAATTTATTTACTGTTTTTTCAGTGTTTCAGCCTACCGATTGGTGGGTGGATACAGGTGCAGGTGTTCATGTGTGTGCTGACATTTCATTGTTCTCTTCTTACCAGGTCACAGGCCACGGGTCCGTATTGATGGGGAATGGCGTGAGTGCTTCTGTTCATGGTGTTGGCACGGTCGATCTGAAGTTTACTTCGGGAAGGATCGTGCAGCTGAAGAACGTGCAGCATGTCCCCGCCATCAAGAAGAACCTCATTAGTGGCTCCCTTCTATGTAGAGAAGGGTTTAAGTTGGTATTCGAGTCGAATAAATTAGTTGTTACTAAGTATGGACTATTTGTTGGAAAAGGTTATGAGAGCAGAGGGATGTTCCGCCTTTCCCTCGCAGATTTCTGTAATAAAGTCGTGAACCATATTCATTCGAACGTTAATGAATCTGAAGTTTGGCATTCACTTCTTTGTCACATTAGTTTTGGTGTTATGACTCGGCTAGCCAAGTTGGATTTAATCTCGAGTTTCACTTTAGCCAAAGGTTCTAAGTACCTTTCATGTGTGCAAGCTAAGCAACCTCGCAAGCCTCATAAGGCCGCGGAGGAGAGACACCTGGCACCATTAGAACTCATACATTCTGATCTTTGTGAGATGAATGGTGTGTTGACTAAAGGTGGAAAGAGATACTTCATGACATTGATAGATGATTCCACTAGATATTGCTATGTTTATCTGTTAAATACTAAGGATGAGGCTCTACACTACTTTAAAATCTATAAGGCAGAAGTTGAGAATCAACTTGAAAAGAAAATTAAACGAGTTTGGTCAGATTGTGGTGGAGAGTACTTCTCGAGTGAGTTTGACTCCTTTTGTTCGGAACATGGCATTATTCATGAGAGGACGCCTCCCTATTCACCCCAGTCAAATGGGGT